TTTTAAATGTAATTTATTCCTGTGATGGCAAAGCTGAGTTTTCAGCAGTCTTGAGTGTCACATGATCCTTCAGAAATCATTCTAATATGCTGATTTGCTGCTAAAGATACATTTCTTATAATTATCAATGTTGAAAACAGATGTGTTGCTTAATATTTTTGTGGAAACCATGATACACTACCATTCAAAAGTTTGGGCTCAGAAAGAATGCATGAAATTGATCAAAAGTGACATTAAAGTCATTTATAATGTTACAAATTATTTCTATTTCAAATAAATGCTGTTCTGTAGAACTTTCTATTCATCACAGAATCCTGATATATCATAATTAATTATATTTTTATTTGATTATATTTTTTTATTATATATATATATATATAATAAAAAAAATCAAATCAAATAAAAATATAATTAATTTATAAAAAAAAAAAAGATCCAAAAAGCACTTTTTAGGATGTCATTCTACAAATGGTTTACTTATAGTCCCTGTACATTAAACTGTGTGGAGGTGGGGCATAGAGGACCTACAATAATGTACAGTATTTTAAAAATAATGTGTTTTTTGAACATTAAAGCATGTCAACATATTCTGTTACACCAAATACACAAAATAATGATCTTTAAAATAGCATCATATGACCCCTTTAACATTGTAAAGATGGCATACTTCACCATTAAATTGATGCTGTTCATGTGTTAAAACAGAGGTTGAAGTTGAGGATCAGTGTTTGTGTGTGTGATCTCACCTCCTGAGGGGGGATATCAAAGGTGATGGTGCGCATATCGACATTGATAAAGCTGTCTGTGCACGGCAAGATGAAAAAAAGACCTGTGTAAGACACACACATATGATAAAAGATTTAACAGCAGCAGACACTCAGAGCATCATAATCAGTAACTCTCAGAAACAGGGCTGATCTTCAATGCTTCAGCTGACTGCATTCACGAGTATAATAAATGATCGCACTGACAACTGCTTTGATGCTTCACAGTACAGCAGTTACATCAGTTTATAGGATTAGTTTTTCGGTGAATGATTTTAAAAAGTAATCTATTAACAGTGATTTATCAGTAATTTACAGATGGCAAAGCTGAATTTTCAGCAACCATTACTGCAGTCTTCAGTGTCACATGATCCTTCAGAAATCATTCTAATATGCTGATTTGGTGCTCAAGAAACATTTCTTGTTGTTGAAAACAGATGTGCGGTTTAATATTTTGTGGAAACCATTTTATATAGAAAGTTCAAAAGATCAAAATTTATTTGAAAGAACCTTTTTTGTATCAATGAAAAAAACGTATATTGTTGCTTTTTTAATTTCTTTTTAAAAAACTATATAAATGTATAGTATAGTTAATAAACAAATATTTAATATAATAAATATTTTAAAGAAAAACATTTTTCTATATATATAAAAGGCAGGCCTGGGCAAAAAAAATGCAGAGTATAGAATCAAAAGGCTGCAAAAAAAAACAAACAAAAAAAACAGGACAATGAGAACGGTTGGAAAACAAGTAGGTCTGTGTGTGTGTGTGTGTGTGTGTGTGTCTGTGTGTGTGTGCTTGAGCTTTAGTAGTGGTTCATGTGTTCAATTAGTCATCCCTGCAGTTTCTAAACAAAACTGGGAGGTTTCTAGAGAGTCATCAGGATTTGTTCAGAGGTTTGTATATAGTCTACTGTGGAAAATTCCACTCACATTCCACCCTTAAATAAAGCTGTGGAGGAGGAGCCCACAGCAGATTGTTTGCAGACCCCTGTGGCCTCAAAGAGGACCAAGAAATCAAGCTTTCTTTTCAGACCTATAGTATAAATGGCATCTAGCCAAATGTATTGCCCCAAACATACTGAAAAGATTTTGATATAGAAAGCTCACAGTGAAAAGCCTCTGTTGACTTTCATTGCACAAGAGGGATTAAGTCGGTGGACCAACACTAATAATAGACACTACCCTCATAAGTTCATTCCTGGAGGGAAAGCCCTGCGGATTCATATTCCCAAACACAGCACAAACCAATACACACCAGAGACACCAACACAAGCACAGCCACTGCGCAGTGTCATTAACTCTATAAAATCTATATAACTTCAGGTATAGAAATTTGAATTTTCTAAAGAAAATGTCACTGTTCACTAAAGCAGCAAAATTTTGTTTTAGGTAAGCCTTTTTCATTTAAGAACCGTCACAATTCAGTAAGCAAAAAAAGCATGAAAAAAGAACTGCAACCACAGTCAATCATTGTTGGTTACTCACTGAATGCAAAACGTTTTAACAATGCAAGCTGATAGGACATTTTCAAACTTTGATATTAAATCTCTTCAAAAGATCATCAATCATCCGGGTTTAAATCGTGCTCAAATTGATTTGATTTTGATGCAATATTTACACTGAAGCTCGCAGGCGGCTATGGTAAGGGGCATGACATTTCCCGACCAGCAGGCGCCGAGTGGTGCCAATCAGAACACACACTGGCCCAGCTAACCAATCACAGCACATTTCATATTTCAGAAGGCGGGCCTTCATTTGATACAGGAACTATTCGAGCCGTTCATGCCAGACTGGGGAGAGAGGTGTTGTAATAATGTAAAATATGTGAAAAATAATGTGTTTTTCGAACAACCTAGTATGAGAGCCTGTTCTAGTACACCCCCAAAACAAAATCAAGACTTTGTAAAAGAGCATAATAGGACCCCTTTAAAAAAAAAAGTATGATGTATGAAATGTATGAAAGACAGTTCACAATGAAGGCACTTCCAAACCAAGCAGCTTTCTGTTTGCAAATGCGGCAACTTGAACATGAGCGAAATCTGTGTGAGGAATTTTTTCACCCTCAGATGAAACTCGCGATCGCATGGATTCCTACTCAAATGACTGGATTTTGCCTGTGAAATTTGACAGCGCAACAATAAATGTGACCTCACTTTGAGGCTGAAATGAAGTCGGATGGAACCCATCAGTTAAGTGGTCTGAATTTAATTAAATTGCTGAATAGAAAGAATAGAAAGAGAAGGAGGAGAAGACAAAGAAATGCAAACAGAAATATAACCAGTCACCAAGATCAACCTCCATGAAAATGGCATAATCACCGTAACAACCACAGCACTGCATGAAACCTGATCCAAAATCCTCAATGAAATACGTGACATCATGGCAAAAGGGCCACAAACAAAATGGATGGTAATTAGACATCTGGTCAAATGACTTTTATGGCTTAAAAGGCTAGAGTACAGAGCAGGTTATGACATTATAACCTGACATTACAATCTCAGACGTTAATACCTTTTTATATAGCTATTACTATCTAACTGTAAAGACTATGAAAAGTTATGCAAGAACATTATGTGCCCTTGAAATAAACAACTGAAATAAAACGTGATGCTTTACAGGTAATATGATCTTTTACAGATGCCTCAGGAAATCACATGTGCTTACTGGAAAAATATTTCCTGAATATAATCAATTTCTCTATTACATTTGCATATGATTGAGTAAGGCGTGCCTTTTTGTGCCTTTATAGCATACTCAAATTAATGCTAGTGTGATCCTGAAAAAAATGTGGTTTATTCAGGTCAGCGGAAATGCAAAACAGATCACTTCTGTTTCTCGACTACAACACAAGTGGTTTTATTTTTTCAACTTGTGACAAGCCATCATTGTGGTGGATGGCCACAGCACAAATGCAAACAAGTAGACTGCAAAAAGTGTCACATTTAACCACACACACACAACAAAAACAACACAAGTGTGATCACTGATTACAGACAGCAGGAGCAGGATCATTATCACATGAGATGCCTAAACCACTAGCAGTGATTAAATCAGAACGATCAAATCATATTGATTTGTTTTCTTTTACCTGGTCCTTTGGCTCCTCCTCGTAAAATGCGTCCCAGACGAAAGATTATTGCCCTTTCATATTCCTTCACTATCTGTAGGAACAAGAAGTATTTTTATCTCAAAACTACAGCAGTTTAAAACAGCAGAAGGTAAAACGGCCCCCAATTATATCATTTAGATGTTGAATGGCAACCTTTATCATGCATTCATCATCTTTCTTATAAAGATAAAGATGATAAAGATAAAGATTATAGGACTTCTCACTTCCTATGAAAAACACTCCAATCTGGTGTGAAAAAATGTGGCACAAAGTTATGATATGGGATAAGGGAATGATCAACACAACTTAAATATACCCACACCTTTTGACCAATGAATTTTCACAACTTTTCCAATTGTTTATGATTTCCAACAAGGATTGTAAAATCAGTTTATAGAGTTTGCCCTCATGAAATGCAATTTCTAGCTAATGAATCATTTTAGAGCGGAACATAACTAGAAAATCTTTAGGGATGCACAATTTATAGGTGTAATATTGGTTGTAATCTTTTTTTCTTTAATTTATCAGTATCAGCTGATAACAGATATATCAGTCAGTACTGGAAATTACATGCTTAACTACATTTAGATTACCTTTGCTGTGATCAAACTCTCACTTATATTAATCTTTAATAATGCTAATAATTGAATAACATTGCAATTATAAAAAAATATCATGCAATCTTTTGCAAATCTCAAAATGAATACACAGTATATTATAATGTTGTGATGTCTAAATTCACTTGTAGCATTCAAAATGTCTGATTAGTGTTAATTTTAATTAATTATATCATATCATATCATATCATATATTATAGGCCATTTAATGCCAAAACATTAATGATCGGCTTAACAATTTTAGATTTTTTTTATAGGTGCACCCCCTCCAATCTTCTTTTTTTTCTATGCATGGAATTCACATTTTTAAAACAAAATGTCCAGGGTTTTCCATGACCATGGGAACCCTGATATACAAAGATTTAAAGGAAAAGGTGTATGACAGATGTATGACATCACACTAATGAAAGGACCATCACAAAGTACCTTAATGCACATCCATATGGAGAGAGGCAGCGTCAGCAATGTGAGCAGGATGGAGAAAAGCACCAGGATCCAACCACACAAGCCAATGTCACTGTCTGCATTCTCCAAGGCTGTAAAGCAAAGCAAATGTGCATATGCATAAACTTTTATTATATTACTACACAATAAAAAAAGATAAAAAGACACATAAATGCCCATTAACCCACTGTAACACAAAAATGATGGGTTAAATGAGTTCAAAGATGCAAAAACACTCAATCTTTTAGCTTCAAGCTGAAGTGCACGCATTATAGCACTAGTTTGCTTATGAACCAAGGAACTTCATCAGCACATTAACATTTCATAGCCATTCAACCACATCGATAAGCCACACATATAGCAAATGAACGCTTCCCTACCGTTAAAAACAGAAATTAACAAACAAAACTGCCATTGCTTTACTTTCGAACCTTACCTACCTTGAGTATCATCATTTGTGTGACACCACCAATCTATAGAGAAATGTAACTGTAAGAGGCTACTGTATGTATGGCCTAAAACCATTAGTCTACAAGCCCATCAGCCCTAATAAGAGATAACACATTTCCTTCAGCAGATCCATCCAGAGTAAATTACATTAACTGCTGCGACAGTCAGAGCAAAGTAAGATTGAATGCTGGATATGATTATTGAGCAGGACAATGATCACAGCAATTGTAGAATGATTAAATCATCCCTGACTGGTACTAACCTTGCAACCTTTACATTACAGCCGAGATCTTTGAACACCAGAAACATGATATAAAACTCCATGCATTTGTAGATCTATTTAAGTTATGTTTGTGTTTAATACACTATAATTCAAGGTACATTTTGGTTATTCCAAAATAAAGTCCTAGTGTTTCCCAACACAATTTTTTAACTGCATGTTGTTCAGCACAAATAATCAGAATAATTCTAGACATTTATATGCAATTTTTACTGCTTTTACTAAACCACACCATACTATAGGCTACTATATGAGACACTATACCATTCAGTACTACACTATACTGCACCACACTATATTATACTATACTACATCATATTTTTTCATCAGTATACCTTTATTATTTTGTGAGATCAATTCAGAGCCTAAACAAACAACAAAAATAATAAATGAAATAAACAGCAAAACACAGGTGATTGTTCTGATGAAAACACAAGTGCTTGGATTGTATAGTGCTACAGGACTTATTTTAATATCGTTGGGGTATGAGCACCTGTTGTTGCCCAGTTTGGCACAGAGGGCATAAAGACACACCCATGCTGCACTCTCAAAAATAACAGACCCTGAAGAAAAAAAGGGAGCATGGACGTGCTTCCAATGTTTATATATTTTCTAATGCATTTTTAATCTTTTTAAAGACAATACACAGAGACATTTAGTATGGCTTATTCGTATTATATGCCAACTGAATGCAGCGTATATCCAACGCACACAACGGTGCAAACACGTGATATTAAATAATAATAATAATTCAGTAGTAGCCAACCTATTTGTCGATCCTTCCGTTTTTGCTTTCTCATCGCAGCTGTTTCCCTGCCATCTTCCATTGTAGGCGATATCTTTGAATTATTCGGGGCTGATATGGAGCAGATCTTTTAATAAGCACTTCCAGCAGGAGATCGCCTCTCTAGTGTTTTTCTGCACGGGACAGATCGGATTCTGCGTGAGGTTCAGCCCCCTCTCGCTCTGGGTTTGGCTTGGAGTGTTGATGGGCGGGCTTCTTCTTCTCGCAAGTTAAACACTTCTAACTCTTTTGCTACGTTGTTTCCAATCCGACCAAAGTTTTCCTTTAAATTTCTTCCATTTTCCCAGCATTCCTGCAGTACTGCTTTTGTGGGATGAGAGTCATCATATCCTTGCAGTCCTGCCCAATAATTAGCCATCAGTTGAATGGTGGGCGGGCTTTACTCTTGTCTGTGACCATAAAATGGAAGTGGGTAAGAAAGCGGAAGCGATTTTGACGATAACTTATAGACAGACTTTTAAAGGGGTCATATGATGCGATTTAAATTTTTCCTATCTCTGGAGTGTTACAAGCTCTTGGTGCATAAAGAAGATCTGTAAAGTTGCAAAGACTAAAGTCTCAAATCCAAAGAGATATTCTTTATAAAAGTTAAGAGTCAACCACGCCTACCTAAAACGGCTCGTTCTAACACGCCCCCACATGTCTACGCGTAACATTTCCGTCACACGCTTGAGGTATTTGGCCAATCATAACGCACTGGATAGCTGGCTAATCAGAGCACACCTCGCTTTTCAGACCGATTAGTTTTGTAAAAATCGACGCGTTTCAGAAAGGCGGGGCATAGAAGAGAAACAATAATGTACAGTATGTGGAAAATAATGTGTTTTTTGAACCTTAAACTGCATAAACACATTTCATTACACCAAATACACAAAATAATGTTCTTTTTAGCAGCATCATATGACCCCTTTTTAAATAAACTTTTAAAATTCGTGCATCAGTTAACACTGGAGGAACTGAATATAGTAACAGCTAAAGCTGGGGATTTGATATGGTGTGGGGATTTTAATGCTCATAATTCACTTTGGGGAAGTTTATGTACAGATATTAATGGAGGGGTAGATGAAGAGTTTATGGCGGAAAAAGGTTTAGTATGTTTAAATGATATAAAGGAACTAGAGTCAATATAAGGGATTTATCAACTTATTGTTTAGATCTGACAATTGTTCCTGAAGCTAAATAGGACGCTTTAGATCACTCAACGTTAGGGAGTGATTATTTTCCAATAAATTGTACTATAAGAATGGAAATTTATAAACAAAATAAGATCAAACAAACTAGGTGGAGGTTTGATAAAGCTGACTGGGATGAATTTAACAAGTCATGCATTGATGATGGTATATTGAATTTTAATTTGGATGATGATATAGATTTATGTTGTGATAGATTCAATTATTGAAAAAGCAGCTGAGGAATACCTAAGTCAGAAGGAAAAGTAGGATGAAGATTGCATCAAGCAGTTAAGAAAAGAAATAAGGCATTCATAAAACATTAATACCAACAACCTTATTAATCCACCAAAGGAAATGGGCACAGGCGAGGAAGATAATTAAGCAAGCTAAAAGGAAATATTGACAATCATTTTGCTCTACAATAAGAAGAACTCAGTTGGGAAAAGTATGGAGCGTCCTTAAGATGGTTGGTGTTTATATAAATCAGGATATTCTAGTTCTAGCAGGGGAAGGGGAAACAGCAGTGAATAAGGAGGAAAAAGCTGAGCTGTTAGATTACACCTTTCAAAAAAGCACACAGAAAAAACTACAAGAGAAGAAGGGAGGAAATTTTAAAGCAACATCGAGATAAAAAAAACTAATAGTCAAACTGCTGTAGATGCTACTTTTAAAATGTGGGAACTAAAAAGAGTGCTAATGAGAGTTAGAAGTACTGCTTCAAAAAAATTTTTTTTGTTATATTATTGATTAAACATATGGATGAAGTAATACTTAAAAATATTGGATTTTTTAATAAAAAAATGGGTGGAAGGACAACTGCCCTTATGCTGGAAACAAGTTTGTTATAATTCCTATTCCCAAACCAGGGAAAGATTCTTTAGTAGCAGGAAATTAGTGAATGGGCTACAGAAATATCACTAAAATAACATTTAGTTCAACAGTAACAATTTCTCCGTGGTTATTCAGTCAACCTGAAGTTGATTTACAGATTCATGACAGTATTCAAAAAGAACAGAATGGGATTAATATCAAAGAATATATCAGAACAGTTTGTTATGCATTTCTTCCAATATATACAGACGGATCACAAAACCCAGTGATAGTCATACAGAAGCAGTATTTTATATTCCAGAATTTAAATTAGGGAAGAATGAAAGGTTAACAGATGGGACTTCAGTATAGCCTATACACTGCAGAATTGCAGTTCAGATCTTGGTTAGAAGAAGTGATGATGCCAAGTAAGGTTGTGATATGTTCAAATTCAATGGCATCACTTATCAGTTTTCATAGAAACACTGAATATATTATATAGATTAAGACAAGCTGGAGTTAATTTTGGATGGGTACCAGCACATGTTGATATACCTATACCAGGAAACGATCAATCTGATAAAATCGCTAAAGAAGCACTTATATTGAACAGTCCTTCTATTACAATTGTATTAAGCAGAATGGAAGGGAACATTATAGTTAAAGAAGCTTGCAATTGGAAATGGCAACAAAAGTGGAATAAAACCCACCAGTAATCCACAGAAGAGAAGAAGAAGAAGAAGAAGAAGAAGAAGAGGTCGTTAATCGATGGCACATGCTTTGGTTGAAGCCATCAGTCAATTTAAATAATAGTGCTTAACATTCCGGGTGGAAACTACATCACCCTTAACTCTGCAAAGAAATCTCCACCAATCAGAGAATCGAAACAATTAAAGCGCGCCAAAAAGCCACCAAGCGGTCGCGCATAGATATGTTCAAAACAGCGGCTCGTTCATTAATAAAACAGTCAATACTATTAGATCTGTTTTCAGTGACAATATCAATGTGTAAATTATTGTCCAGGTTGCTGCTAAAACACCACAAAGTCAGCTTTTGTTATTGCATATCTGTTACTTTTCTCAGCTCTCGTCAGGATGGACCAGTCACAGTCGTTTTTGATTACTAGGGTAAGGGCAGTTTTAAAATCATTTTATAAGTAAAAGGATGGATTTCCGCTTGAATATCATGTTCACGTTGGAAATTATTTGCTATCCTCAGTATATTGATTCCATGTACAAATGTTTTAAATAACACCTTATATGCGATTTTAATGTGGCTCAGTCAGACCTCAAAAAGCGGTTTGCTCCCAATGAGAAAAAGAAATGCCCTGCGTCTCAATGTTCATATTATCCATCCTAAATAGTATGTGAGATTAGAATAAGCGTGTCCCAAAGCATAGTATGTTGAAAAGAGTATGCCAAAAGTCCCCGGATGGTCTACTATTGCAGGTCGATTTTTGAAGTGTGGCTCCATGCACACTCAAATGGCTAAAATTGCCCACAATCCATTGTGCTTTGGTGAAGGATTCGGTCCAGAACTACAAACACGAATAAAACGCGTTAGAAAAACTACATACGATCAACGGTTAGGTAGAGAGGTTTACAAAAAGGGGTTTGAGTTACTAATAATCAACATTTAACCTGGTAAAAAATATTTATTTATTGTTATCCGTGTTATATTTCATCTGCAACAGCAATGTGAACTTTTATAAAGATCAATTTGGTCGTTAACTTTTAAATGATCATCCATCATCCATCATCCAGGTGGATGCTGCACACTGGTGGTGGATGAGGAGATACCCCCTGACAAAGTATGCGCTTTGAGTGCCTAGAAAAGCGCTACATAAATGTAATAAATTATTATTATTATAATTATAATTATAAATGCATCATTATGCAGAAAATTATGAGCAGAGTTCTCTGCATGAAAGACACGCGACTGGCAGATCAACGAGCTACTTCTTTTCTCTCCAGTACGGTAGGAAGTTAAATTAAATGAAATGTGGAGGATGTTAACTGTGACAAGATGATTGACAGGCCAGTATACAGTGACAGGGTACGTGTAACAGGTGCGACAGAGCGGTCCTTTAAAGACGCAGTTGTGTGACGTGATAGTATGTCCCAAAGCTTGCCTACTACACACTCAAAAGTGTGTACTTTTTCTTCTCCAAAAGAGTACATACTTTCAGGGCGTAGTATAAAGTAGGCACATTGAGACGCAGCAATGATCTTCCAATGCTGGGAAACAAATACTTGTAAAACGGACTTAAACTGAGACAATATTATTGTCGCCCTCTAGTGCAATGGAGTGGTGTTGCACATTGTCCTTATTTTCATTCCTATTCATTAGTTTAATAGACATTCCAAACAACTCTAACAGAAGCAATTCAGGAGACACTAGACACTGAGCTGCAAAATTAAGTAACAAAAATAAAGTGATGAATATGTAATAGTAATAGAGCAATAAAATGGCATATTATTTTATAAGTATATAAAGGATATGAAGCTTGTTAAAGAAATAGTTCACTGGAAAATTAAAATACTGTCATTATTCTTGTGGGTGATATTTAGGAAAACCATATAATATCTACTAATGTCTAATGCTTAAAAGTAGATGATCGAGAAAAGAAACTCAAAGGAGGTATTGGGGCTTACTTTTGCCACAAAGTAATCGTTACAAAAATCATTAAATCAACTGCAAAATTGATATATTATGATATATGAATTAAACATAACATCTGAAATACATTAAAAATAAATTAAATTAATCAAAAATTTCACACAAAAAAATAATTTCATAAAAACATTTTATTTATTCTCTGTGGGAAATGTATATTAGGGCAGTTGATAATAGAAAAGGCAATAAATTAAAAATGCAATTATGCATCACTTCATAATCGCATATTAAGATGATTAATTTTTAATTTTTATACTGTTTTACAATTTGCTTCAATATTTATCAGTTTTCTTAACAGTATTTAAAAATTTTTTTTTTTTTTAAAGTCTGTTATGTTCACCAGGACTGCGTTTATTTGATCAAAAATAAAGTAAAAACGGTAATACTGTGGATTATTATATTTAAAATATAATAGTAATAGAGCAATAAAATGGCATATTATTTTATAAGTATATAAAGGATATGAAGCTTGTTAAAGAAATAGTTCACTGGAAAATTAAAATACTGTCATTATTCTTGTGG